ATCTTTGTCCCTTTGTCACAAGCATAGATATAGTCCTTACAGTTATTACAAGTACTAGTAATTGATCGTTAGGATCGTGAGATATTTACTTAAGTATTATAACTGTTAAACATGTTCCTAGTCGAAGGGTTACGCCACTAATGAGGATATCGGCCTTTCCCATTAAGACTAGCACTTAGTGTATGTGTACTGCATCTCATCAGTAAACGGTATTGTGATATCGGCATGCATAAGTGGGTGCTCGTAAGTTGACGAGTTCACTGAACTCCCTCACCCTAGAAATCTCTAAGTGGTTCCCAATAATCGAGTAGAGATGTCTATGATATAGTTGTACACCATTAGTCCTTATGACCTAGACATCACCGTGACTTCACTAGAGGACCAGCTGTATCGTGACCTGTCCCTGAGTTCCACCGAGGACCATTCCAAGGGCCAGTGTTCGTGCAGTCCGAAATCTAGTGGGAGGTCTGTGCATTGTAGTCGGGGATTCGATCGCTAGAATAGTCTTGGATGTCCTGTGTGTTCTGAAAGTTTGTAATCATTCTAAGTCTCTGGCCAGAGCTGACTAAGTGATGATTAGAGAATTCGATTCTCTAAGTCATGCACGTAAGGATTACAACACTTAGAACGATCGCACCGTCATCGAACATATAAAGAGGTCTCGATGAACCAATGCCTCTAGTTCGATCGGGACATATGAATCGAAGGGACCGTACTGTACGTTAACTATATCTGAAGGTTCTTGCAGGCACTTCATTTGTATCTAGGGAATCATGACGCGTAGTTGCTAGACGCCAATCTTGATTCGTTGGGTGATTAAGGTGAAACGAGTTTCATCTTAATCGTAACTCTAAGGGGACGAGTTTTGACCACAAAGGGTTGTGGGCCCACGGCTAGCTTACACCTGAACCATCGAGGGTCACACTGCTCGTGCACATGAGATCTTTGAATAAACGGTCAGAGATAAAATGGTTTATCTTTGCATGATTGGAAGTCAATATGATTGGGTCCAACATTCGTAATTTGGAATTATGAATGAGAATAAGAAAAGGAAAAGAATAGGCAAATGTATTAGTGGACTTTCTAAATCGGGAAGTTTCCAAATTTAGAAAGTGCACTGAATTAGGGTTTCCACTTTTGGAAAGTTGGAAATCGAGAGTTGGCACTCGTAATGACGAGGACATTATAATGATTCCGAAAATGTAATCGTTACAATTTTCCGATCATTGAATTGAGAGAGACGAGCAAGTAAAAGAACTAACGAACTTAAGTTGTTGGGCCCTGTCCAACTTAAGCCCGTTAGGGTTTTATGCAAGACATATAAATACTTGATTTATAGGTCTTGCACACACATAACTAAGAGAACACACGTTCATAACCCTAGCCGTTGCCTCTCTCGATCAGCCACCCTCTCCCACGGCCACCACCACCGCGCCGTCGCCGGAAATTCGCCGGAATCGGCCACCCGTTGGCCGATCTCTTTCGGTATTCCTTTCCTTCTTTCTTTTCTTCCGTTATTCTGACTATTACGTGTCTAGTGCCACGTGTTTAGTAGATCGAAGTATACGAGGTGAAATCCAAGAGGACGAAGATCGAAGAATCGAAGATGCGAGAAGGCAATTCCGAAAAACTGCTCTCGGATTTTCTGCGCTGCCCAGCGAGAAATTTCGCCATAAATCAACCGGTCATCCGATGGACGTGAAATTTTGACAGCAGCTTCACGACTCATAAATCTACCATCTTCCAGAAGGAATTGTTCATCCAGTAAATACGCATGGAGATACTGAAGTCGGAGCAAGGCTGTAATTTCAGATCAGCAAACAGGTTGGATCAATAGGAGTGGGAAGAGCAGCTAGCCATCTTCTCATCGCAGTTGCTGCCCCGGATTGCACGGATTGGTTTCCGTGGAAATCTAGCTTTGCTTAGTGCGCCTACCTCACGCTTCAAGAGGTAATGTTTCGAATCTATTGTCATTCGATTCGGCTACGTTTAAATTAATATATGCATGTTCGTTTTAATAAGAAACTTGTATGATTTTATGTGACTACATGAAATTGGTTTTATTATTGCGAGCATGATTATTTGATTTAAAAGCGAGCATGCTAATTGATTTAATTTCGATTAAGTAATTAAGCATGTTGTTGTTTTAATTTCGCTGGAAGCGCAAAGGTACGCAATTAATTGATTTAATTTGTCGGGCATGTTCTTGTGTGCTTTAAAGTCGTTTAAATCACATTAAATTTTTGTTTTCCGCTGCGTACGCGTGCCCGAAACCCAACAATGTCTAGTGGTTCAAGTGCTCCAAGAGGAAGAGGAAGACCTAGAGGAACTCAAGCAAGAACTGAAAGAGGAAGAGGGAGGTGGAACAATGGGCCTTTATGTGGTATTGGGAATTGGAATGGCATTGACATGTCAAACATGCACCAGTTCATCCCTTCTGCCGAGGTAAAACTATTTTTTACATTTTTGTATTAATAGTTTACAAATATAAATACCTTAACGACGGTCTATATAATTTCCAGGTCACAAATACAAAAGTTGTTGATGCTAATGCAATACGTGCTACTAAAATTCTCTAGGATTCATCATTGATTTATTATGTTTGATTAATTTTATTTTACATCACGTGCTAGTGACTTTATTTTCTTGCAACAACCATCGTATGACAAATCGTCACAAGTTTCACAATCTTTTACGGCATCCCAAAGTAAAAAAAATCAATCTGCTGCAGGTGTTAGAGGTGAGATCTTCAATTCTATAAATTAGAAAAATAGTTTTTGATAGTATATTTATATACAACTATGCTTTTGTAGATACAAAAGGAAGAAAACGAGATTTGGTGATGCCGTGTTTTTCTACCACCCAAGCACCCTCACATAACTACTTAGTGATTCCTGATTATGGAGACTCTGGAGATGTGTAGAAAGTTGAAGCAAGATCTTTTAATTTTGCATATCTTATTAGGAGTTAAATATTGATGCTTGATTTTTTGGATTATATCTTAATGAATACGCAAGTGATTTCATTTTGATGGTACTGGTTCTGTTTTTTGGGTAATTTTGTAAACCTGATTGTATTTATGCAAGTTACTTTATTTTATTTTTTTCATGTGCTATTTAGAAGTTGTTCGAAGTTTACTTTTTTCTATCTTTGATTACATGTTAATCTTATGAACTCTTTTATTTCTTAGCTATTATATACTGTATTTTCATTTTTCATAATTAAATGAAATGAGAAATTAAAATATTAGGTTAAAATATCTCGGAACATATTCAGGTTTTCAATTGTATAATTATTTTGACATTCTAGACAGATAAATTACGACTTTTTTTTTTTTTTTAATTTAGAAGTGTAGTTTTTGTTTTTTGAGGGAATTTAGGAAAATAGTTATTTTGTTATCAATGTGCTTTTCTTTTTCTTGAGATTGTTACGAACGTGATTAAAGGCATTAATGGAAAATCATATTAACTTACTAACACCGTTAACAATATAATGGATTGACCTTTTACTTTTGCATTTTAAATCTGCAAAAAAAAAAAACAATTTAAAATAATGCATACTAAAATTAGTAAAATATTTCAAAAAAAAAATTAAAAAAAACGAAAATGAAAAAACTAATTAAAAATACCTGTAATTTATGATTTTGTTATTCTAAATATATAACTAAATAGATTAATTTAATATAACAACAACCACAATGTTTAAAAAATTAAACATAGTTATTAAAAAAAAAAAGAGTAAATTCCACTTTCTCCCTTTGTACTTTGGTTCGATATCACTTTACTCCCTTCTACTCTCAATTGCATTGATTTGCCCCCTGTACTTGAAAATTTTCTCAATGTGGCCATCGCCGTTAATTATTAGACATAACCTTAACACCATTTGATCTAAGTCCGGAAATTACAAAAAAAAAAAAATCACCCCTCCCACTTTAAATAATTATTAAAAAATATATATATATATATAAAATAAATTGTGGCTGCCGTGGTGGACTATGTTTTCTCGTTGTCTTGAATTGTTTTTTAATTTTTTTTTGGTTTTTTTATTTCGTTTTTTTTTAATTAGTATTTAAACTGGGAGAGGTAGTGTTTTTGTAATTTCCGAGCTTAGACCAAACGATGTTAAGGTCAAATATATGACAACTAACAACGAGGGCCGCATTGAGAATTTTTCAAGTATAGGAGGGCAAATCAATGCAATCGAGAGTAGAATGGGGTAAAGTGATATCGAGCCAAAGTATAAGGGGAGAATGTGGAATTTACCCAAAAAAAATTATGCTAAGAACATAAAAAAAATGGAGAGAAACCTATTAATTTTGGAAGGAGTGTGAAAAAATGGGAGAAGAAGTTGGAAGTATTTTATTTACATCAACCCCAACCTCCCCACATGCCCAAATAAAGTCGCCCAGCTGGCCCCCACCAATGCTCAGAAATCATCTCTGACAGAGGTGATTTCTAAAGCAGAAATCGCCTCTCCAAGGAGTGCTGATACTCGTGACTTTTCTGCCTCCATCTCGACTGTTCTTCTTTGTTTCTGATAATTTCCAAATGTTTGATTTTTGTTGAGGGAAGCTGAATGATCCACACCCAAATTGAGCACTGTTGATGTAAACAATGATTTAGTTTAGATACACACAAATGATATTGAAGTTACAATATTTTTATAGTCTTAGAAAAACAAGAAATTAAATTAATAGGTAATAAAATCTCACATCCTGGATTTCAGACAATTTTGGTGGTGCTGATGAAATCTTTGCCATGGTTGTTTTAGTGGGCTGTAAGTGTTTGAGTGATGGGCAGAAGAAGAAATAGTGTGATGGATGTTCATCACACACACACACACACTCACAAAGAGAGAGAGAGAGAGAGAGAAGAGAGAGAGAGAGAGAGAGAGAGAGAGAGAGGGATTTCTCTCCAAATATCTGGGAAGAGGAGTGATAGCAATTGATTGAAGTAGAATCATGATTTTTTTTTTCTTTTTCAATTTAATTTTTTTAAAAGAAAAAAGTATAGTGTCAAAATTCAAGAAACTACAGCAATAAAGGTAATACTAATATGTGCAAATTTATTATATCAACAGTAATGCCTCTCATCAGATCACCAGATATTTACAATATCTGCTTACATTCGTAGTATAGTAACACTATTTAATAGCTATACAAAAAGAAGCACAAACCAGTCAGTCACTAATTACAATAAAACCATTATCAGGAGGGTAGTAGAATGGTTTGATCAATTTTGAGTCATGTAACACATTATTGATCAAAGGACGCATGTTGTAATTATCCCGTAACGATCTTTCAAGTGCTTCACAAGCTTCTTCAAGTTCAACCGGAGCTTCCTTCTTCACTGCAAATATTATTTCGACGAAGCCATCATCCACGTACATGTGATACAAGTTGCTAAATACCTGTCAAATATCCACCAACTATCATCAAAACATAATGCAAAGAGAAGGAAAAAAAATAACCCGAAACAAAATGTTACTTCACGAGTTTTTCTCACCCTTTTCAATTTTGAATACACCGGTGCCCTCATACTAGTAAAGTAGTGCTTCGGGATCAACTTAAAGATGAATAAACCTTTGTCGGAAAGTGAGTCTTTTACGGTCAATAGAAAAGATTCCTCAACAAAGTCTGCCTCTGGACTGATTAAACCCGAACTGCACAATTTAAAAAAAACAAAAAAAAAATAGTACCTAGCAGGTGAAAAAAAAATGATACCAAAATAAATAAATAAAAATGATTTTTTTTTTTTTTATTAAAAGCTACGTTACCTCGAGTCTGATGAATCCACATCGATTATGAGTAAATCAACTTTGCTTCCATCTGCATGAACTACGGTTAAGTACTTGCTGCTAAGCATGCTGTTTTAACCTTTTTATATTACTACAATACACAACTAGTTGTTGCTACTTTATACCTACCTGCCTCAGAATTTGCTCTCTCTCTGACAAACTTAATTGCATCAGTAATATGTACCTGAACATGAGAAGGAGAGTAGCAAAAGTATGAGCAATTTTTGGCAGTTTAAGTCAGAATTAATGTAAGCATCTTCGAACATTTGTATGTTACAGCTAAATGAAATGTGGATGCTAGAACCAACAGCCTTTCACAACCTTAAACAAGAAAACGTTAGAAAATAGAATACCACCTTCAACCTTTCATCTTCTGTAAAACCAAAATAATTTCTAGCAACATTCAGAACCGCAGGATCTAACTCGACGACCTTGCAAATTAAGAAGAATATACATAAGGATTGAAAAAATGGTAAATTAGCACAGCCAGAATTTTCGTTATACCTCAATCTTTAGAGAAGGTAGGCGATTTCTCATAAACATAGGAAGTATTCCTGGTCCAAGACCAATGATCACTGTTTTGACCTGAAAAAAGTGGGAATATTTTAGTTCATTTCCATTACACGACCAGCTGTATGAACAGTGAATAATAATATAGTAATATGTAGATACTATATTAATTAGTAAATAAATTAGTCATCAATGTTAATAGCAACTTAAGTCACTTATGCAGGTTTTTTGCCTCTATTTGGAGAATCATTTAAGCAAAAAAGAGATGAGGAAGTAATTCGTAGATGGCTCACCAAACCACCAGCTTTGGTAGTTCTTTTTGAATGTGTAGAAAACAACAGTAGTCCAGCAATAACCCCCTTGTGGAATCCAGTTGTCAAAATTTTGTGTTCAACTTTAACACCACTTGATGCTGCCCCGGATTAAAAAGACGATTAACGAAGGTGAATAAATATTGCTACTTGTATTCCTCAGCGGTAGATAACAGTAAGTTTAAAAGGCTTTTAAGGTAGCTTGGGAAAAAAAGAGATTGACTTAGAGGTGGCTAGTAAAAGCTGCTTGCGTGTCAATTTTCGCAATGAAGATAGTTTCACTGAGCCTTAGGTACATGTCCTACAATTATTGCCACTGGAACCTAAATATAAATTGACAGACCACGTTCTAGCAAAAGAACCTGAAGTCTACCAATCCTAGAAAGTATTATAACTGTGTGTGCGCAAATAAAGAATCGGAGGACAAAATTTGAATTTTCTTTCATCTTAGTATAATATGCAGATGAGAACATGACACACTGTGGTGAACAGAGTTTGAATTTTCTCAATGAAGATAGTCTCCTGCGGTTATTTTATTTCCCAATTCTATTAGCTCTGGATGAATTCTTAGAATTGGAACATGGCTAATATCTTGTACATGTATATCAGCTACATTAAGGAAAAAATTATTGAATGTATGCAGCAAAAAGTCATAATTTAAAATGTCTACAAAACCCAAATGTGGTAACTAAAGTGCATAAGAAGAAAAAAAAAAAAAAAAAGCTGATAGATATCAGAAATTCACCGTGAGAATCAATCTTTTTTGGTTTTCCTTTCTTCTGTCTGAAAGCTTCTGTGGATAATGGAGCTTCAGAATGCATCAAACTCTCAGCTCTTTCAAAATAAAGGCGGCGGAATGTGATCACCTGAGATTGGTTATATCTCACGTCTTCGACAGAGATTTGACCAGTCGAGACAGATGAAACCTGGATGAACCAAAGTAGAGAGAGGAAAATGAGAGACGGAAATACATAAAGAGCAGTAGGTATGAAATATCTATTCCTAGAAACTTGCATTAGAAACATGCCACTGAATATAGAACCATGAAAGTGTGCTAAGAGAGCAAATAATCAATGTTGAGAATTGAAAAAAAATAGCATGTCAAAATATCCTTTAGACGTAGTAATAATTATCAGTGAACACCAAAGTATTAGCACATCAATTTAAAAGCTGTATCCATATTCTGGAACAAACTTACTCTACACATGAAAAAGACAATTAATACAACTCCTATAGATCTCATAAGATGAGGCAAGAAATAGTAGTTCTTCAACCTGATGCACAATTGTATTCTGCTTAATCCCCTCAATCCTACCATCATCAGCCGTAAATCTGCAAGAGCTCCATTTGATAAACTCTATTAAGCCTTACCAATTATACGAATACGTGTAAAATCATTCTGGCAATATTATAGCAAGGAAAAGCTACAATGCACTGAAACCATTGCAACAACTTTAATGCTCTCTCATTCCATCAATTTCTTGGTGCACCATAGGGTAAGTTCTATTTCAATGAAAATGAATATGACTTCTCTCACTATCCAAAGCATGAAGTATCAGTATGAAGGAACACCTACTCTTAGAAGTACTGCATATTTCTCTTGTAACTAGCAGAATATCACTCAATCTAAACAAAAATGCCATTAGTACGTGAACCATCAATTGTTTTCCCTCCTAGTCCTAGGTTTTAAACGATTCCTCGTCTGTTCTCACACAAGACTGGGAAAAATGGCATTTCTCATGCAATTCTTAGAAAGAATATAGTAACATAATTTTCTCGAAGAGGCCATCTTACTTGCAATCTCAAAACCCATTTATCCAAAACGTTTCACAAGTGTTCCCAAAACAGGGTGCATACCTTGGTATACTGAACAACCCATAAACATGTTATACCATTGAAGAAACAAAACCTTGTGCATAAAACACTTAAACTAAGACCACGAAAGATTTAAACTTTGCAAATAAGGAAGGGGGCAATTGGCGAGCTGATGAAATATAGTATCTAAACAAAATATACTACAAAAGTAGCATGGCTAATATGAAATCAAGAGCTAAAATCATTATCAAATGAGTTCTGTATTGGACAAGCGATGCTGATGGGATACTTACTCAGCATCAGTGTCATCATCTCCCACTTGGCGCAGTTCAGCGACAAAATAGCCGGTATCCTCCTGAAAAAGGAAAAAATAAAAAATTTAAGTATACATCAAGTATACAGCTCACAATTTGGATTACATATTGAAAATAAATTTCAATGTTACCCTTATATCGTCAGAGGAAATACCATAAAAACTGGAATCCAGTACAATCTAAAACCAATCAATAAAATGATGTGAGTGAAAAATGAAATATGAAGAGGCAGGTACAGGAAGAAAGTACACCAAATTTATAAATGACTGGAAATATTTACAATCAACAGTCGAGCAGCTTTGAAGCTTTGAAGAACTAGCCGTTGTTGGAATTCTGATGCGAGGATCTTCTGGGAAGCTTGAGACTGAATTGAAAACCTCAGTCACATAACAGTTGGACTGGAAACAAAATAAGTAGTGAAGTATGCCAATAGCAAGTGCACCACATGGTGAATGATTATCTCATATTTAATTTTAATCTCTAACAGATGTAATAATTTAAGAAGCAGTAACTCTAACACACTTCATCTGGTATAGACTACTTCTTAGTAAAGTTTTGTCTGTGGACTTTCTCATAAATGGACGATGGTGAGATTCAAATGAACATCTCATGCAAAAGCTTAAACTTTAGAGACATGAGTTATTTAATGTTCAGTAACTCGAACATATATAGCACACATGCCTGACCCTATATTGAAAACTAAATGTAAAAACTAATAAATAGAAAGGCAACAGATTATTAAAAAGTCATGGAAGTTGAAGCTGGTTAATTTTGAAAATAAGGTATAAAGAGACAGACTCAATGCTGTCCAGGTTGGCAAAAGTTTAAACAGAAAAGTAACTGACAGGAAGAACACGATCTACGATAGACTAACTTAGCAATAAATAAGAAGGAGATAGAGCTTGGTTATGTAGCAAATAAACACCATAATCTCATATTAGATTAATATACTCGTTATGCACAACTTTTTAAGCAATTAAAGTATATCTATTTTCAGATTTTCCTGAACGGAAGAGCAATAGAATCTTAAACTGTAACTAAAACGACAAGTGAAGGGCTAAGGGGAGAAAAAAGAACTAACTTTCTGCAAGTATAATACGAGAAATTGTTTTGAGAAAGGTCCAGTCTCTGGAGGAGCATCAAGAAGGACACAAGTATAGAAGAAACGCGATGTTCCAGTTTCACCTAAAAAAAGCTTTATAACACGACCAGATTCAATCACTCCAATGTTTCCATTGACCCCTTGCTTCAGCTCTTCAAGTGAGTACCATTTATCTGTGCTCTTGGAGTACTCTTCGCGGATGGTATTTTCTCTGTTAAGTGCTTCAAGTAGCTCATCAACCTATAACGTCTCAAAAAGTAAATGTATTTCTCAAGATCCGTAGTAATCCAAATAAATGTTCAAATGAGCTAGGAAACAGTACTGGTATCAGATTGTTCGGAATCTTGACCAAAGTGCATGGTCTTAAAGGTCAAAAGAAAACGGTCGACTGCTCTCACCTGAATACCCTGAGTTTCTACAAAAGATACATCCATGAATGGTACTATCCTAGACACAACAGTTAAATAAGATTTCTCTGCGACCAACATAAAAGTCTGTTGTGTGGTGGTTCCAGGAGATGCTTCGTCAGAAATGGTATAAAGATTGATCTTCCACCCAAATCGGAACTTTGAAAAAAGTAGATCTGAGAGAGTCATATGATTGAAATAATTTAGTGCAGAGAGAAACGATATACTGAATAAAAATCCAACTACTCCTATCTTCACGTTCACCATAATAATTAATAACGTGAAACAGTACCTAGCACAAGAGGTTCTGCCAAGGTGAGACAAATATATCGGCCTCCAGCTTTTAACAGTCTTTTAACCTGTTGACAAGTCAAACTTTTGGACCATAACAAGTAACGATATCGAAATTGTGTCATTATCAAACAAGACTATCATAAACCTCGGATATATAAGATAATGGTCCTGATCTGGAGCCATGCTCGGAATCCATCAGAATATCCAATCCTCCCTTATCGACGATGGCATCAAAGATCCCACTTGGAAACTGAATCAATTACAAATCATTAGAAAAAGGAAATAGATAGAGAAAAGAGTTCCAAAAAATAGGATAAGAAATGAGTTCATGATGCTAAGAGTAATTGTTAACGACTAGCAAATAATTCATGAAATTAATAAAACAAGTGATAGCAGAACTAATTTAGTGGTTGATGAACAAGGTGGCAATTTCTTCAGAATCTATTCTTTAGTGGTTGATGAACAAGGTGGCAATTTCTTCATAATGTATTCCCGTTCTTGATTTTAGTAATTGACATAACCATGCCAAAAGAGTAGAGTGCGGGAAATTACAGGCTAATTGACTAAAAATGATTTGATTAATCATTTGAAACAGGCACTTTGGAGATGAACTAAATCCAAAAAACGGCACTGATATCCTAATAACCATATTTTCTTGCTCCTTCAAATCTGTCATTCTCTGACCCAAAATTGAATTCCCACATCATAAAACCATAATCTCAGTTTCCATAATTGAACAAATACACCAGCCCACTTTTTATTATACATATCGGCGATTTCCTAATTACAATCAACTGACAATTTTTACAATTAATTTGATTATTATGAAGTAAATCATTCGGTGCAATTGCAAGGGTTAGAAACTAGTGAATTTGTGTATAAGCCTTAAAAACCACATGGCCTAGGGTACTGAATATGAAGAAAAGGGAAAAATTACCGGAATATTAGTAATATCCATCACGCGCCACTTCATCTCCGGCCGTACTCTGATATTCCTCTTCATCATGGCCTCAATCACCACCTTCGAGAAATCCACATTCGTTATATCCGTAAACCCTTCATCGTAGAGATGCTCCGACAGCCTCGAGGCCCCGCACGCCGGCACCAAAATACTCACCTCCTCCGGCGGCGGCTGCAACAGCGGAAATGAGAAATGGTTTAGCTCCTCCGCCAGCTGAAACGAGAGAAGGTTTTTGAGTGAGGTCCGGAATTGGGGCCAGTCGGCGTACCACTCGCAGAAATCGTCGGTGCCTTTTGAGGTGAAGAAACTGTCCCAACTCTCCTGGTTGATGTAGTCTACGGCGGTCACCGGCAGCTCTTCTGCAATTCGGATGCAGCTCTCTTTCGCGGGGTTTTCCTCCGCCATTTTCACGCGTTCTAGGTGTTTCTGTGTGAAATGACGTTTTGTGAACAGTTGAATATAGAAATTGAATATATATATATATATATATATATATATATATATATATATATATATATATATATATATATATGTATTTTCATATATATATATATATATATATAATATTTGAAGTTTAATATCCCGCCCAAACAAATCTAACAAACTACGGTTATAATCCAACTCCAGCGTAATGTTTTCCAATTACCCCTAGGTGTAAAGACTGTTATACCCTTCAATTATAAATTAAATTTGATAATAGCATTGATAGAGACAATATACAAACATTCTAATTGCAAGACCACAAACACACACACACACTCGTCACATTCTTAGGGCTCGTTTGCTTAATGCTATTGAACTCTGTTAGTTAAATATTAGTGGCCGGTAAGATGATTGACTGATAATATTCGTTTTTAGTCAAACACGTTATTACACTTAAAACCCGCAATAAATATTATTATTTGGTCAAATTAATTGCACCATTCCACTTAGGGGTGTAAATGAGTCGAATCGACTCGCGAGCTTTCGGAACTTGCTCAAAAAAAGCTTGTAGAGCTCGAAAAATCGATTGTGGAAGATCGATTGATAAGTCAGGTGAACATACGGAATCCTCCGATATTCTCTCTAGTTCTTTGAAAGTAAACCAATGTATTGGAAGGTGAAATGCAAACATAACAGTGAAAGAACACCTTGCGGTTGGGGGTTGCGAGGGTCGGAGATCACGAAGTATGGTGGAGATCACACTTGTGTTATGGGCAGAATGTTTACTAACCATCGTAATTTGGACATGAATTATATTTCTGCGACATTGGTTAAAACAGTTCGTGAAAAACCATATTGTCAAGTTTCGAGCCAAACAACTTATGTATACTGAATTATGATTTGATATCTCATACCAGAAGGCGTGGTACAGTTTAACACGTTGCAGAGATAACATATATGGTACTTGGAAGAACTTAGTCGCGAAGTTGCCCAAGTATATGAAAGTATTGCAAATGATCGATCTCGGAACGATTGTGGAGTGGCAGAGTAAGACGATGAATTATCCAAGCCAGAAAGTGATCAAGTATGTCTTTTGGGCTTTCAAGCCATGTCTAGATGGATTCAACTTCTGTTGCAGAGTAATTAGTATGGATGGAACTCATCTGTACACAAAGTACAAACACAAGTTGTTGATTGCTACGTATTTGGATGCCAATCAACAAGTGTTGTCACATGGATTTGCTATGGTGGATGAAGAAAAGACGAGTGCATGGAGCAGGTTTTTCGCGATGCTAAACCAACATCTATTTTCGATTATCGCGGAGACTACTACGATATGTTTAATCTCTCATCGTGCACCTGAAAATTCTTGCTGTTGTTGAGACATTGCCTACCCGGTTTGTCCATCGTTTTTGTCTCCGATATATTTGTTCAAATTTGAACTCCCATTTCAGAAGTGTCAGGTTGAAAGTATGTTGAAAGGCCGGATCAGTACATGTAACCACTAAATTTGATCGAGTCATGGATGTGATCAGATCTGAAAATATTGAAGCATACAACTACTTGATTGGTATTGACACAGAGAAATGGAATTTAGTTCACGACGGATGCGGTCAGAATAAAACAAATATCTCAAAAGTAATTAACGGAGTTTTGAAAGGTGCTCGCAAGATGCCCCCAACAGTTATAGCTAATTATTGTTTTCACCATGCTGTTGAGATGTTTCATATACATGTTGCGAAACATCTACTTATGCGAAGTAAAGGACAACGATGATCAAATTGTACTCATAATAAGTTCACAAAGTGAAAAAGGGAATCAGTGAAGCATGTTACCTGGATGTTTAATCAACAACTCCAATCGGCTAAGGTAATACTAAGGGCTTGTATGATAGGAAGTGGAAACAACACACATTCAGTAAGCATAAGAAGGGAATGCACGTGTGGAAAGTGGCGTGATTTGGGATCCCGTGCTCTCATGTCCAACGCGTGTGTCGTGATTATCATTTGGATGCTTCGGCTTTTGTGGAGAAGTATTATAGTGTTTCTCACTATTCATCTACATACAATGGAGTGTTTCGGCCTTTTGTAAGTGAAGCTTATTGGGAGGATGCAGATTGTCAACTATTCCACGATACGACATTGCGTCACGCGACACGAGCTGGCAGAAGACGTTCTACTCGTTATACAAATGAAATGGATATACCGCAAACACATGCTAGACAACAAGCAAGTCGAAACGAAAATGTTTAGGCATTTCTTTGAGTTGGTCGTAATCGTATGTTTAATTATTGTAATAGATTGTGTAGTGATTGTGCCTATGTTTAATTATTTGGTAAACTTTGTGAGTTCATTAAGGTTATGTTTAACTATTTGTGAAACTTTGTGCGCGCATTTAGCGTATGTTTGATTACTGTAATAGATTGTGTGTCTATTAAGCCTAATATACTTATGTCTAATATGTTTTTATAATATATGTTTATTGTATGTCTAATATATTTTTATAATTATTTTGTTAGATGGATGCACTGGTGAAGGAGGCATATGGCCCTCGCAATCATTGTTACGTCTACAAGGCCGGTATAAATCAAGTGATCTTGACGAGAAAAATATGGACGATGTTGTGCGTGTTAGACGTGCCGATAACGGCCTTTGGACCTTATTCCCGACGGGTGTGCATCCTCATCCATGAGTAATGAAATTGATATATACAATGGAATTTTATGGCGTATATCGGTGTAGACGCATGAATGTTGATTTTCACCTTATAACTCATTTGATCGAGAGATGGCGAGAAGAGACGCACACCTTTCATTTTCGTGTCGGTACAAATTATATATATTCTACAACTGCTTGGATCGACTATTGTGGGGCCTTATTAGGTTTTCTTCCTTAACCTAATGATCTTAGGGGAGAGAAGTTAAAGGTTTTGGCCCTTAGAGACTATTTGCTTGACAATTTTGTCAGTGATCATAGTTCAAATGTACATGTTGCTCAGTTTACTCGAGCATTGGCATTTATGCTACTTGGTGGGATTATGATTCCGGTTAGTACTGACAATGCTATACCTTTGATGTATCTGAAGCATTTTGAGGACCTCAATGCAACATTTTGAGTACCTCGATGCAGTTCGTTCTTATAGTTGGGGTAGTGCCACATTGACGGTACTGTATCATGAGCTATGCAAGCCGACAGTATGAAGAGACCGTAGGGATGTCGTTGGAGGTCAGATGAAGCTACTACAGTTGTGGGCATGGACGAGAATTCGCCATATAGCACCTATACCACAACCACTTAAAAGATTACGATCCAATTACGGTGTTTCAACTAAACGCGGGTGATGTATTTCTAGTGCCTCCATATGGTGCACAATATGACGATAATACTCTAACCATAACCAATTCAATATAATTTCAAATCTTGCAATTAAATCTCCACTTAATATATGCATTGTTTAAATACACGTACTTTTCGTAACACATTGCAGTTGGTTGCATCCTTTGAGTTATGTTCACACTACTAGTCATTCAGTTCGCATATATAGGACAATGCTTGACCAAATATTGGCAAACCAGGTTCGTAAATTTGCTAATATTGTTGATAATATTTGTGTACCATATTGTTGATAATATTGTTGATAATGTTGTTGATAATATTCGTAAATTTCATAATATTTTTTTACAGTTCATTTGGATTCCATGTAACACCAATGATATTGAGTACCAATAATTGGCTTCGGATTCAACAATTGTTTCACCATTACTTTGGTGTCCAGTTGTCCACTTATTTTTTATTCATGAGTGGAGATGCATCGTCCGGAAAGAGAATTACGACAGTTCGGAATGGTCCAACCAATTCCATCACTTCATATAGATGTTTCTATTTCCAACCAATTACATGATTTGACTCGTCAAGGCCAATCGGGTCTGGACTAGAGCGAGTATTTGAGTACATATGTTGGTAAATGGCAAAAGATTTCAGACTGTCGGACCATTTCAACCGATCAATGGACCAGATAATAGGATGGTCATGAAGCATCGTATAGCACACTCGTCCTTTTATATCACCGATTGACAATTTGACGAGCACTGATTTTCAGACTGGAGATCGGACGATTATGAATTTGGTGGTACGTAATCTTTTATTTCATTCATGCAATTACATACAATTACTCGATTTCTATAACTTATTTTATAATTTATTTCAAGCTATTTGACTAGCCTCCATGAGCACCAATGTACCAGAAATGCAGCCTATGATTAATATGCTCAACATGATCGAGATGCCTTTTACGAGTGTCCATGATGGAGGAAGAAGGAGGGCTCACAACTGACTCAAAGGTCTACAAGAGAAATGACCGATTTCCCTTACCGAGATTAAGATGTGGCACATCCTTCCACGTACCGAGATTATGCCTGTCCTTCCACATATCGAAATGAGGCCGGTCCTTCCACACTTCGAAATGAGCCTGGTACTTATCCCAATTCTACTGATGATGTTTATACTCCAACCACATTTTAAATGGATACACCAGCAACTCCATACCAGTCCGATATGAACATGTATTCAGGGACTGAATTCTTGGATCTCAATTTAGGATATTTACAAGGTGACGAGTCTACACATGCATTTTAATGTTTCTCCCGTTCCCTATCACATCCCATCGCCTCAAAGTCATTCTAGCGAGAACTATGTTGCCAATGGTATTGAAGAGGATATTCCGCAAGAACCAGTGGGTAGAGTGCGTAGAAACAGGCGTCCGCCTAGATGTGGGACCAGTGGACATCTTGGACGTCATTGATGCATTTATTTTTAAGTATTTTGCATTTATGTGTTTTACATGGTTTGTAGTATTTGACATTTGTGTATTTGACATTTATGTATTTGATATATATTTATTCTTACATTTATGTGATATTTATTTAATTACAACTTTAAATGTTAAATAATCTTCATTTAGAAAAAAAAGAAAAATAAATAAATATATATATATATATATATATATATAATTAACTCATTTAGAAAAAAAAGAAAATAGAAATCACATGTCG